TTCTTACAGTGAACGAGAGATGGCTAGCAAGAGGACCACAGGTGTATAAAATCAAGCACATAGGCATGCAGGCTGCTTCTACAAAGATTTGTGAATTCAGGAGCTCAGTGAATTCCAGCTTTGTACCTGATGCTGAGGCACATAGTGCACAGAAGCCCCCAACTTTCTGTAGAGTCAGTTGCTACAGACCTCTGAATGTGACCTTCAGTTTAGATCAGAACATTACAGAATGGGTTTCTATAGCCAAGCAGCTGCATTCAAGTCTTACATCAATGAGTGCAATGCAAAGTGTGGATGTAGTAGTGTAAAGTACACCACCACTGGACTCTAGAAGTGACGAATTGCGTATAGCCCCAAGTTCTGGTTGACAATAAAGGGAGTAACTGAATCGCACCTCTCCGTCTGGCGCTCCAATAAAGGAGTCTGGGTTTGGCACTGCACTGTGCCAAGTGTAAAGTTTGGTGGATGTGGTTTATGATGTGGGGTTGTTTTTCAGAAGTTGGGCTCAGCCTCTTTGTTCCGGTGAAGGGAACTCGTAATGCTTCAGCATATCTAAACATTTTGAACAATTTCATGCTCCCAACTTTGTGGTAACAATTTGGGGAACGCTCCTTCCTGTTCCAAGATGACTGCACACCAGTCAACATGCAAGGGCCATAAAGACATGGATGGCAAGTTTGGTGTGGAAGAACTTGACTGGCCTCCACAGAGTCCTGACCTTAGCTTGACAGAACACCTTTGGGATGAATTAAACTGGAAACTGCGAGCTAGGATTTCTTGTCCAACATCAGTGTCTGACCTCACTAATCCACTTCTGGAAGAATGGTCAAAAATTCCTATAAACACATGCTCTTAAACCTTGTGGAAAGCGTTCCCAGAAGAGTTGAAGCTGTTATAGCTGCACAGGGTGGGTTGAGATCATATTAAACCCGAGCGAATACTTTTGGTTATATAGTGTATTGTGAATATTCACAAAACTCCTGCTGTTTGTTTTTACACCACCAACAAAATGATCATAACATCACTCTGTTGTCTCTACTGAATGGTTTCCATTTTAGTCTACTCTGTTATTGCTTAGTAGTTGTATTTTTTAAAAACGTGTGTGTCTGTCTTTAGGGTTCAATAGTAATAAATGAAAATGAGGCCAAGGTAGTGGACCGCTACCTGAACTTCCAGAATGGCGTGGCCTATGGCATCGACCAGCTGCTGGAACCTGCTGGCCTCGGGGCATTCTGTGACACCATCGAGAACAGAACCACTTACGTGAGTAACACTAACAGTGCTACCACTTCAACACCAGTACCGCCACTGGGGGAGTCATTTTTACTGTGTGCCCCAACAGCATTAGTAAATGCAGTGATGTAATTTACTAAAGAAATTATGTTGTTTATTTTCATCTGATTTTCAAAATTATAATCAAAAGGTTCTCAAAATAAAAAAAGAAATCTGTTTATTGGGTTCGTTAGTTTTTATTTAGACTGATTAGACAAGGCTAGGGAAAGTGTTTGTTACTGCAGGTAAAAAATTAAGCTAAACATAACAAATGGAAATGCTTATGTAAATGGTGAAACTTAACCCAAATTTAGAATGAATACAATAAATTAAGTATTATTTATATAGTATAGCTCGAAGTTCTGATTCAGAGTAAGTAAGCAGGTAAGCAAGTCTCAGTTTCAGCTGTGGAGAGAAGACTTTGAACCGCGGATTTGACAGGATGAGTTGCAGCAAGAAAGCCGTTGCTAAGACATCAGAATAAGACAAAGAGGCTTGTCTGGGCCATCAAACACTGCCATCGGACCACTAACGACTGAAAAAAAAGTTTTATGGACTGATGAATCATATTTTGAAATCTTCAGTTCATCACACAGGATCTTTGTATGTCGTCAGGTAGGCAAAAGGATGGTTCCACATCGTGTGGCATCAACTGTCAAACATCGTCAACAAAGTATGGTTGTCTGGGGCTGTTTGTGCTGGAGTCAGGGTCCATGATTTATTTTTAAACTCAAATTGCTTATTTTACTATGCTTTCATTTCAGTGTGCAATGTGAAATTAAACTGCATAATTTTTAATAAAAAATTGGAATAAAAAATTGTTCTAAAATTTTTGACCAGTAGTGTATGCACAGAAAAGGAACTGAGACATATAGCAGATTAGATAAAAGTTGAAATTATCCTTTAATTAAAACAGATTATCTTTGATCATAGGATTTATTTTAAAATTTAGGAAGCTTAATTGTTTATTAGCTTCTTCTTGTGTAGAGTAGGAATAGATCATACAATTGCCTCTGGCCATTAGCAACCAAACTAACAACTAAGTTAAGCTTTGTTTCACTAAACTGTTGTGATTCAATAATGTGTAATTCCCAGGATGAGCACCAGGTGAATAAACACCTGTCATGCGAAGGCTGTGTGCAGGCAGGAGTGGTGGTAAGGGGGACCCAAAGTACAGACTCTGGAGACAAATGTGAACTCAAAAAAAAAACCAGCTGTAATGCTGAACTCAAAGTAACAAACTTCAAAAATACAAAGAATAAACGCAGGCAGGCAGACAGAACACAAAGCATGAATGAGGGTAGATTGCGACACGGACAGATGAAAACACAGATGGTAAAAATGGTAAATGGCCTGTATTTGTATTTACTTGGTCCCTAAGGACCCCAAAGTGCTTTACACATCCAGTCATCCACCCATTCACACACACATTCACACACTGGTGATGGCAAGATACCTTGTAGCGCACTGACAGAGGCGAGGCTGCCAGACACTGGCGCCACTGGGCCCTCTGACCACCACCAGTAGGCAACAGGTGAAGTGTCTTGCCCAAGGACACAACGACCGAGACTGTCCAAGCCGTAGCTCGAGGGCTTATATACACAGAGGGAGCAATCAGGGAATGAGAGACAGGAGGGAAACATAGCTGGACAAATCAGGGCTGACGAGACAAAGGAAGCAAAACCAGACGCCTTAACATGAGACACGGATTTTTAAAGTAAAACAGGAAACACAGACTGAACTTACAGACACAGACGCACAAGCAGGCACTGCAACAGAGGGAACAGAGACGTGAGACCAGGGCAGACACAGACACTGACTGGACACAGAATAGAGGGAGTAAGGAAACCAAAACTTCAGAACTAAATAATCACACACCAAGAAGAACTGGGGAAAAATAGAAATGCAAAACAGAAACCAAAACCTTCACAATAAACTAAGATGACAGCACAAATAAAAGGTACAAAACTAAAACCACTGGGTCAGCGACCCAGATACCCTAACAACACCAGAAAACTACAAAGGCTCTCACATTAGCATGTGCCCTGGTGGATTAAGTAGGGCTTTAACCCTGTTATCTCATGACAAATAATCATTATCTCACTTGTCTTAAATATTTCAGGGGCGCTGTGGAAGCTGCACCTTCACCCCGTCCTGTCCCTTCAAACACTATGACACGGTAAGGTCTGCTAAAGCATGTGAGCATTAGCTGCAAAGACTGTGGAGATAAATATTATTTCTGTATTCTTCCAGGGAAAGACGGAGCGCTGTTTGAACTTGCGCTCCAGGTATCGCTACTCATACTTGTATGATGACCTGGATCGTTTCAGCAGATATGGCTGTAGGAGAGTTTGTAGCTTTCCAGGCTGGGTACAGAAGTGCTGCAAAAACCACTTCGGGCGAGACTGTCAAGGTAAGAGGGGAAGGGATGGAGGCACTTATGTGAGGAATTGTGCTTTTGTTTGTACAGAGATGTTCTTGGTTTTTGCAGCTTGTTTAAAGACTGAGTTACAAATTCTGAAAGTCACAGGCTTTAGTTTGGAAGTTGTTGAGTTTGTGTAGTTTTTATTGAAAGCATGTTTTCTGAAAGATATCAGTCACGCTTCTGGTTGACTAGATATTACTGATGCTTACTTAGTTTAATATCCAAGTGAGAAAAATGTGGACTTACGGTCTTTCTAAACTGCTGTGAAAAAGTATTTGTCCCCTTCC